CTCTTCTGATTTCACTGATAATTACCAGCAGAATACAAACATTAAAAAATATTTCTGGGTATATAATCCTTTGCACATAGGTAAAATCTTCTGGCATCCAACAGTTGGTCTACAAAGCATTTTGAGAGGAATAAGAACTAAGTTTAATACCCTTAGGTCAATATTGTACTATACAGAGGAAATATCAAAATTTGATATTTCCTCTGTATGATATTTCCTTTGATATCTCCTTTGTCTGATATATTATAAGACTTGGTCTTGGAAACTGTGGGATGGGCATGAAATATCATGGAATTTTGGAATAACATTCTATTTTGATGTGACAGAATGATCAAAAGTAACAAATCACATGTTAGTAGACATTGAATCACTGTATATTGGTCAATATCTGGAATTGTAATTGACAATTGGACATAAGCCTTAGGGCCTACTATTTAAGACATTCATATCTAGGTTACAGCATATTGTCTATATAATAATACAGTATTAAGATATTTACTGGTATTATTAAAGCATGCAGTTTCTTCAGTGTTTATATAAATAACTTTAGAATATCTGCTGGTAATAGCAAAGTCAACCGTTCGGGCATATTCACCAGCATTAAAAGCACGACTTTATCTTCTCTGCATGGATGAAAATATTCTTTCCTTTTCCCTACCTCTCGAATGATCGACAATGCCTTCTCATATGCGTGATAAGTCATATAACATGGGTTTTGATTTTCCCTTAATAATTGGCAGTACTAGCTGTAGAATTTGTCGAGTGCTTATTAATACTGCGTCGATATTCGCACGGGAATTGCTTTAATCCTAGCTTCAATCTAAACGACAAATATAAGTCAAATATTAAGTCTATTAAAGGCATCTCACTACATATTGTTTAATTGGACACAGTATAAAGGACTTACTTCTTCAACTGAACGCGATATTTCTTCAGTTAATTCATCCGCGTTGATTTGCAGCAGCTAAATAGTGTGATGAAAATCGCCTCCGTCGTTGTATCTGCGTCTCCAGCACCCAGAATTGGGTGAATTTTGCTTTCTGAATCGTATGCCGAACTTGTCGAAGCCATAACAAGAACAACAATGCCTTATTTTAAAATTTATAAGCACAATATCATATTTCTGTAATACTACGCTATAGAACAGGTGGGAAATTTGTCGTCGCTGACCAAAAAATCGCGGGCAGAAACAAAGCTCATTGCATTTACATTCAAAACAAAGCAGAAAGTTAGCAAGAAGCTGTTTTAGCTGACGATTTTTTGCTTTCCATTCAACGATTTACAAATTAACGGTTATTCTCTTAAAAGCCGACTATGAGTTCTTTGGTTTGGGACATTTGTTTTGTAATCGAGTGATTGGAAGAAGTTAATATGGCGACGTGAACATGGGAGTAAATACCGTATACGTCGATCTGTGGCTTGTTTAAAACCGTAATAAACGAAGAAAGACGTGATATGAGAATGAAATGTAAGTTGAAATTAACTTTATATGCCTCAAATTTTCCATCCTATGTTTCTTAATGTAACTTCAGCTGTCTAAGTTCAAAATACAAGCTCGCGAAATTTGACAAATTATGAAAATATGTAAAAATAGCTTGACTTTGAACTGTATTTTCTCAAAAATAGCCCGTGGCCTCAATTTCAAATATAGGTAAATGAAAAGAAAAATTTTTTTGGTGTTTGTAGGTATCAAACATATCGTCAGGAAAATAGGGGCTCACAATGTTTTAGCTGAGTCTTTGAGACCCAGTTGCTTCGTACGTGTTGTTGTCAAATTTTTGCCAGGAATCAAAGGCCGAAATGTGAACTTCCTTCATGAAAACCGCTTCGAGAAGGGTCTAGATTGAAAATTTAGCTATAAATTTGGATTTCGTGAGCATATTTTGGTCACACGTTAAATATTTTTGTACTTGATGAGATTCAAAATTTGTTGTATATTCAAGCCCGGCTTTAGTGTAATTTTGGTGATGACCGGAACAGAAATAAAGATATTTTAAAAACTGGCCGTGGCCTCACGATAAAACTTTCTGAAAATGTTCTCTGTTTCATGTATTTTTATTTGATATCTTAAGTATAAGCGTAAAAATAGGGGCTCATACACTTTACGAGGTTGTAAAATGCATGACTTGCCTGTATTTTCATGTAAACATTCGAAATTTTTCGACAACATAGTAGCGACTGTTTCAGATCGAATGCACACGGACAGCCCACCAGAGACAATGGCAGGGTACTGAAATAGAACGTCACTAAAAAATTCTGTATGATTAATTTAGATCATGTCCATTTTCAACATAAAACAGTCATTTATTTTGTACAAACATTTGGCAATATTTACACGATTGTGCCTTTTTGTAAACACGCGTTGCGTGTATTCCACGCAATTGTGTTTTTCAATTTGCTCGCGCATGCTCAGAGAAATTTCCCACCTGTTACGCTATAGTAATTTCTGAATTTGATGCACCCGAAATGTCACGTGACGTACCTTCCTAACATCTGAAATTAATTAGCTCGAAAGCCTTTGAAGTTTGCCGGCCTTCCAAACCCTGTCCTCTATTAACTATGCTTAGATATAATAGAATTTAAACATGACGCCCCTATACAGTAAATCTACCCAACCGAATTGGTGTTCTTACAGTAAGAAACTGTTGCTTGTAGAAATAAAAGCCTACAATGAAGATTTTTCTGTCAACGCCGCGCGATAAGTTCAGCAAAATTCAATTTTTATTACCTCGAACATGTCTGTCAAATGTGATATTTTGCCCGATACTTTGAATTACGTTTCCCACATGAGAATCGCATTGTGAGATATCATATACATTCATATTATATTTTTATTTATTACCTCCAACATGTCTGCCAAATGCGTTTTAATATATTTTGCCAAATAGGCCTACTTTAAATTGCGTTTCCCACATGAGAACCGCAACGTGAGATATCATATATTCATATTATATTTTTATTTATTACGTCCAACATGTCTGTCAAATGCGTTTAAATATATATTTAGCCAAATATTTTAAATTGCGTTTCCAATATGAGAACCGCAACGTGAGATATCATATATTCATATTATATTTTTATTTATTACGTCCAACATATTAATTTGTCAGATGCGTTTAAATATATATATATATTGCCAAATACTTTGAATTACGTTTCCCACACGAGAACCGCAATGTTAGATATAACATTATATTTTTATACACATACAATAGTTGGCTAAAGTGTATGTAAGTAATAATAAAATATAGCAATGTAATATGTGATATGAGCATCCTACACCGAATGACAACCCGCGACCATCATACACCATCTGTACCATCTTCACCATCTGACAACCCTTCCCTGTATAACCACCCTACACCATCATACACCATCTGACAGCCATGTGACACACTTCGACCATCATACACCACCATACACCACCATACACCATCTGACAACCATCTGACACATTTCGACCATCATACACCATCTGTGCCATCTTCACCATCTGACAACCCTTTCCTGTATTACCACCCTACACCATCATACACCATCTGACAACCATCTGACACACTTCGAGCATCATACACCATCATACACCATCTGACAACCATCTGACACACTTCGACTATCATACACCATCATACACCATCTGATAACCATCTGACATACTTCGACCATCATGCACCATCTATATCATCTTCACCATCTGACAAACCTTCCCTGTATAACCACCCTACACCATCATACACCATCTAACAACCATCTGACACACTTCGACCATCATACACCATCATACAGCATCTGACAACCATCTGACACATTTCGACCATCATACACCATCTGTACCATCTTCACCATCTGACAACCCTTCGCTGTATAACCACCCTACACCATCATACACCATCTGAAAACCATCTGACACACTTCGACCATCATACACCATCATACACCATCTGACAACCATCTGACATACTTCGACCATCATACACCATCTGTACCATCTTCACCATCTGACAACCCTTCCCTGTATAACCACCCTACACCATCATACACCATCTGACAACCATCTGACACACTTCGACCATCATACACCATCATACGCCATCTGACAACCATCTGACACATTTCGACCATTATACACCATCTGACAACCATCCGACACATTTCGACCATCATACACCATCTGTACCATCTTCACCATCTGACAACGTTTCCCTGTATAACCACCCTACACCATCATACACCATCTGACAATCATCTGACACATTTCGACCATCATACACCATCATACACCATCTGACAACCATCTGACACACTTCGACCACCCTACACCATCATACACCATCTGACAACCATCTGACACATTTCGACCATCATACACCATCATACACCATCTGACAACCATCTGACACACTTCGACCATCATACACCATCATACACCATCTGACAACCCTTCCCTGTATAACCACCCTACACCATCATACACCATCTGACAACCATCTGACACACTTCGACCATCATACACCATCTGTACCATCTTCACCATCTGACAACCCTTCCCTGTATAACCACCCTACACCATCATACACCATCTGACAACCATCTGACACACTTCGACCATCATACACCATCATACACCATCTGACAACCATCTGACACACTTCGACCATCATACACCATCTGTACCATCTTCACCATCTGACAACCCTTCCCTGTATAACCACCCTACACCATCATACACCATCTGACAACCATCTGACAAACTTAGACCATCATACACCATCATACACCATCTGACAATCATCTGACACATTTCGACCACCATACACCATCTGTACCATCTTCACGATCTGACAACCCTTCCCTGTATAACCACCCTACACCATCATACACCATCTGACAACCATCTGACACACTTCGACCATCATACACCATCTGTATCATCTTCACCATCTGACAACCCTTCCCTGTATAACCACCCTACACCATCATACACCATCCGACAACCATCTGACACACTTCGACCATCATACACCATCATACACCATCTGACAACCATCTGACACACTTCGACCATCATACACCATCTGTACCATCTTCACCATCTGACAACCCTTCCCTGTATAACCACCCTACACCATCATACACCATCTGACAACCATCTGACACACTTAGACCATCATACACCATCATACACCATCTGACAATCATCTGACACATTTCGACCACCATACACCATCTGACAACCATCTGACACTTCCACCATCATACACCACCATACACCATCTTCACCATCAGACATCAGATGCCTGTATTGGACATTACTCACTGGACTACTAGAACCAAGAGAACTATTCAATCTCAGCGTCAGTGATGATTTATTTGCGAAAGGCGGCTGCAATTTCATATCAAGTTTTGGATGTTTCAGTCTCAGCAATCATCAGCCTGAGACGTATATACTACACGAATGTTTTATTAATGCTCTTAATCATGGTTCGGTTTATACATTTTGCCATTTTATCCACACTATTAATGGTAAAATGAGCTGGCAAATTCATACCACTACTGATGCAGTACATACTAAGCACGCGGAAAAATTTGCTAATCTTTGCTTCAGTATGCTGAGTAAAATGTCACAAAATGCAGCCTAAGAGGGAAGGGAAATTGTTAAACATTGCTAGTCAGCTATTAGCAAAAGTCATTGTAAAAGATTTATATATTGTGTATTGGTATAAGTAGCGAGCAACATTTGACATTTAGTGTTATAGCCTAAGTTAATAATTGTTATTATCGTAAATACAGACATTTTAATAGTGACACGTTGAGTGACATATATAGACGCTCGCCCTTGGCCAAACATTCTGAAGTTCATTTAGAGAAAAAAACTTGAATATCTTCGTTATTCTCTCAAAGACCATAAGAGTAAAATACTTGTATTCAAGCGGTTTCATGTAGAAGTTTCGTTCGAATATGGCGAGTAGAAATATTTATTTCGAATTTTTCAAAATATCGGTTTACACGCGCGTGCTACGCACTATACTTGACCATACAATAAGGAGCATCCGTAGGCGGATACACGTTAATTAAATCACGCGTACAATAAGGACGAAAGCGGACGTATATTCATTTATGCAATATTCTTTCGTCAAAATCCAAGATCTGATTGGTTATGTTAATTTAGGCCTGTTTTATACGTCGAAATAGTTGACCTGCATCTAAGGAGGAAAGCGGACTTATGGCCTCATTAATATCATTATCGAGACGTAAGCATAAGCAAAATTGCTGATTCCTACTGGTTGCCTCTTTTGAATTTGCATGCTTAGGCAAAATACTTGGCTGTCATTGGTTATGACTGAACGAGACTAAATCCTGAATAAGTTGAATGTCGATACATGCATGTCTTTTGTGCATCATGTTAAAGCTGGTCTTATACGGCTCGTATACCCAAATATTTCTCGTGGCAAGATTCGAAGAGAAGATGGGTTCTCCGTGCTCTTCTCAAATGTAGAAAAATGTGTGACTGAATGACTTCGTGTATACCGCTTATTAGTTGATGTTTTGCAGACCTTGATCGGTCAGTAATCAGGTCTCAAGGGAATTCATATATATCGTAAATCCGCAATATGTGTAAATATTTCATCCATCAAAATCATCGCCAGCATTTAATAATTGCTTTACTGGCTATAACACTGCCATTATATAGTATAGAGGGCCCCTATACCTTTTGCGTGAAGGGTGATGGGCTTATTTTACTTAGCCGTGAAACGTGATCGACGATTTTCTTAATCCGTGATTCGTGATGGTATGACTTACAATCTTTTTACGTGCACGTGAAGGAAAGATTCGATTTAACCGTGACCCGTGAATGGCAGATAAAAATATGAGGGATTCGTGAATAATCTGTTTTGTGACCTTTTGTGTGATCAGCTTTCCAAGGAATAAATACGGTTTGTTGCTGTTTTTTGAAGTACTTGATGTACAGAAGCCTGTTTTCGACATAGTTGGAGGTTTGAATTTTGAAAGCATGTCGAGGTAAGTACAGACGAGTACAATGATTCTACAATTAAGGAAGACATCCATATAATAGTTCGTGAATTTTGTTTTATTTTTACGTGAATAGTGATCGCTTCAATTTTTCCGTGAACGTGAAGGAATTTTTTCAATTTTTCGTGACTCGTGAAAAGGCAAAATATTTTTACGTGAAAGCATATTGTGAAGTGGTATAGGGGGCCCTCAGTATAGTATAGTATAGTATAGTATAGTAATATAGTATAGTAATATAGTATAGTATTATATAGTATAGTATAGTAATATAGTATAGTATAGTATAGTATAGTATAGTATAGTATAGTATAGTATAGTATAGTATAGTATAGTATAGTATAGTATAGTATAGTATAGTATAGTATAGTATAGTATAGTATAGTATAG